AATATCCAGTGGGGGGCATGCAGGAGTCAGCCAATAGATGGTTTCTCTCATCAATGTTTCTATCTCTTCCTCTCTCTCTAAAATCAATAAGGAAAAAAATAAATTGCTTGATTAGGTATTCTAATATTTATTTTTTGTATCTGTTTATTTGGTGTTCATTCTTTAGAATTTACATATGTAATCACAGATGTAGATGGGATGGAATATAGCATAATGTTTAAGGCCCCAGGCTCTGATGAAGTAAGATTGTTCTAGGTTTGAATCCTTCTTCTTTCACTTCCTGACTTCTAATTTGGGCACATTTTCTAAACTTTCTATGATACCTCATCTCCAAATGGAATTAACAATAACATCCACTACACAGTTTACTATTATTATTTTTTGAAATATTAAATAATCCTAGTAAAGCCCTGGCCAGTCTTGCTCAGTAGTTAGATGCATCTTGCACCTTTTTCCTTTGTTTTGGACTTAATTGCGTTCTTTAAAAAAAAAAAATTTATATTGATTTTTTTTTTTTTTTAAGAGAGAGAGGAAGGGAGAGGGAGAAAGAGAAACAGTGGTTCATTAGCTTTTTCTTGCACACCCCCTACAGGGGATTGAGCCCAAAACCTGGGCATGTGCCTTGACCAGGAATCGAACGGCAAACTTTTGGTGCATGGGACAACACCCAACCAACTGAGTCACACCAGCCATTTCATTCTCTATTTTCAGTAGGTATCAGAGTCTATGAGTAGTACATTTTTTTCTGTCTTTGTCCATAAATGTCTTTATTCTGCTCTCTCTCAAGTTTTGGTTTAGTCAGGTATAAAATTCTAGGTTGACAGTTATTTTCTTGTAATAGTATGAAAATGCTGTTTCGTTTTCCTGTGGAAAGTTAATGATAATCATAATGCTAACGGGAAGTTAGCTGGCCTGTAGCCATCATCATCTTGCAGCATTTGTCTCCTTTCTACGTTTACTTGAAAGAGTTTTTATTGTTTTTGATATTCTGCAGTTTTACCACAATGTGTCTGGCAGGTTGATTTTTTAATTTATCATTTTCAGCATGTAGGTAGTTTTTCATTCTGAGGAATTACAAATTCAGTGCTGAAAAACATCTTTACCATTATCTTTTCAAATGCTGCTTCACCTTCATTCTCTTTTTTCCTCTCTTTCTGGACATGTATTTTTGGACCTTCACACTGTAGCCTTCATATCTCTTATCTCATATCTCTTAACTAATTTCACATTTACCATGTTTTTATAGCTCTGTACTATCTTCTGCCTGATTTCTTTAGATTTATCTCCCAGTTATCTAGTCATCTCTTCAACTGTTTAATATGCCGCATCTCTTGAGTTTTTAATTTTAGAACTATACTTTTCATTCCTAAAATTTTTTTTAATAGACATCTATCCTTTTTCATAGTTATTATATATAATTTCTATTCTTTTAAAATATGATAATCATTTAACATACACTATTTTAAAAAATTCCTCACCTGAGGATATTTTTCTATTTATCTTCAGATAGAGTGGGAGGGAGAGAGAGGGAGAGTAAGGGAGAGAGAGAGAAACATCTCTTTCTAGGCTGGAATCAAACCAGAGACTCATTGGTCTGCAGGCCGATGCTGTACCACTGAGCCAAACTGGCCAGGGCTAAAATACACTACTGTTGTAGTCTGTTTCAGTTATTTGGAATGATAATTGCCCCATGTATTACACCTGCTGGCATTCCCTCTTGGTAGTTTATTCATTTCTTTTATGGTTTAGAATACTTTATATAGAGCTCATTATCAGAAGGCTTTCTTTCCTGTGGACTTCTGTGTGCTCAGGTGGTTTAATTGTCACTACAAGGAAGAACTAATGCGTGGTTTCAGGAAAGTCATATCTTTCTTGTAGTAGGGGAGCTGGTTTGGTTACAACAGAAATGACGGCTGGCAGCAACAAAGAGACAAGTTCCAAATGACAGAGAACAGAATTGATAGAGCGAGATCCTGGAGAAGGCGAGGGGCTGGCCGATGAGGAGCCCAGACATAACATTATAAAAAGAAGGAGGAATACCTCTTTCTTTGAAACAGGAGGAAAGGTGAAAATGGCGTGAAAAGGTATGGAGGTATTTTGAATAAAGAACTTGAGAGATCCTAAGCATTGACCGACTCTTCTCAGAATGACAAAAAAAAAAAAAAAAAAAAAAAAGGAGCTTGTCTTTAACCAGTCACACGGGCATGTGTCTGAGGAGACTGACATTGTTAGAAGTGGCAGTACGGCAACAGGAAAAGTTAATGAAAAGACTGTCAATAAGGAGAAAAGACCCAGCCAGGGTTTAGAGAAAATGGACTTGTGGGATGCTCTGATGGTCTGTCCCACATTACTCGCCAGCTATCCAAGGGGGTGGAGTGAAGGTAAAGGTGTCCCAGGTCTGATGATTGCCAATCCAGCCACAGGAAGTAGCTTGGGAGTGAGCAATTCTAAGGTTTTGAAAAAGTTCTGTGTCAGTAATTATTATGGAGTCCAGGCTGGCGAGGGTCAAATGCAGCCAAAGGACAGTGGTGAATGGGGACACAAGAGAAAGATCCAGAGGGTGGAGGCCCTGAGAAGGTGAAGACAGACTCAGCAGGAATGAGAGAGCTGTAGGGTGAGAAGTAAAGGCGAGTTACCTCCAGAAGGGGAAGCTTTCAGTTCGATGCCTTGGCGACAGAATAGTTCTCAGTGCTTAGCGTACCAATAATAATGTGTGGGTCACGTATTTCCCACAGACCAGCCACCTGGAGGAAAAATTAGTTGCTCTGAGCAGCAGTGTCGGGGTCTCTCGATTCCAATTTCTTCTTCAAAGATGTGAGAATAACCAGCATTACAGAACGGTTATCCCGCATGAAAAAGGAACCTACTAGGTGCTCATTAATTTACAGAAACCTCCAAGGATTGTGTCTAAAATCTTCATAGGCTTTGAACCCTGTCTCTTCAAGAGCTTGCCCGCAGCTCCTGGAATCTCTGCTCTCTGGTTGAGGTCTTGGTGTAGGACGTGCAGTAGATACACAGCCACCCCGAGAGCAGCCCAGCCCAGCCCCCTCCCACCTCCCCACGATCACATTTTCCTAGGTGAGCCAGCTGCTGCCTCTGCAGCTGCCTTTGGAGTGTTTCTCCAGAGTGGTGACTGTTCTCAGTGCCAACTGTGGTCGCATGTGCTCTGCTTTTCCGTAAGACATGCTGGCTGGCTTGGTGCTTGACCAAACTGCAGTGGGCTTTGTGGGTGCGGTCGACATTTCTTTCCTCTTGCCTTCCTGGTCTCAGTTGTTTCTCGGACGGAGCAGAACTTTGTCATCACTGGCTGTGGTATGGAAGTCAGAATAGCCCTGAACCTTTTCCTGTTAACCTGTGACCCCTATTCCCCCTACCCCCCACCCCATGCTCTTGAGGGAGAAGATTCATAGGAAGGAATTGAATGAACAGGGATAACAGGCTGAGATGGGACATGATTCCTCCCAGTCCAGGCTTTCTGCCCACCTCGTGGTGGGGTTGGGTCAGTTTTCTGTGCATTTTGTTGGACTTGCTTCGACATACTGAGATAAATGCAAGAAACTCATCTACGGTATTGCATTAGTTCTCAAAAAAGTGCTTATTTGTGATAAACCTACTTAGAAAAATGGAGTGGAAAAAGAAGGAACGTTTTGATACAAAAAGAATAATGAGCTATGGGAATGTAGAAATAGAGGACCACAAGAAAGACCAAGCAGATGGACTGCATCAGCCCTAAAATGTCCCTGGACAGCGCTCCTCCTGGCTCTGTCCCAGGCTTTCCATCCCCGCTGATGTTTCCAAGTCACAAGTCAAGGGCACGTGTTTGCGAGCCTTGAGGTTTTGCTGGCCTGGAGTGTCGGGGAAGCCCTCAAACCCTTGCGGGCGCTGGAGGTGGGCAGTGTGAGTTGAACAGTGCGGAGGCTGTGGGACAGGGTGACCGCTGCTTGGGAAATCCACAATCTCTCGGTTTTATGGGGAACTTGGGGGTTTTGGCCAGAGAGGACAGCCCAATGAGTCTCTTCTGCTGAACCGGGGTAGGGCATTGCTACTTTTTGCTCCCTTAGGGTTCCAAAAAATCTCTAGGACATATGTAACCATAGGTCTTTTTTATTCCCTTTTTATTTATTTATTCATTTTTTTAACTTCACAATTAAGAAAACCTTCCTTATTCTGACCTGAGGAGACCAAATCCTTTTTCTCTCGTTTGACCTGCAAAGATCCTGAGCCCGGTCCAGGCACTTTGCAGACGAGGAAGCTCTGCATTGCCCCAGTGTCAGCTTCTCCCCACATTTAGGAGCAGTGCCTGATCGACTGTCTCACATTTTCAGGGCAGTCCTGGCTTCTCTTTAGAGAAGAGTCCTAACATCCGACATGGACATTTCTCTAAAGGGCTTTCTCTCCAGTTCCTTAAGGACTGTTGTTCATTACTTGGTGCCATCGTGTTTGGCCTGTGACTATGTGTCGTGCTAATCTCTGGCTAGCCACCATTTTATTTCATTTTTACACCCCTATGAAGTAGGTATTGTTATTATTCTTATTTTATAGAGGAATCAAATGAAGTTCAGAGGAGTTATGTAAGGCCACCCAAAGTAATGCAATTGGCAAGTGGCCAAGTCAGGATTTGAACCCAAGTCTGTGCTACCCCAAAGTCTAAGCTCCTGTGGGTTGCGACCGCTTTGGCATAACAGTAGCAAAATTACAGTTACGAAGTAGCAATGAAAATAATTTTATGGTTGGGGGTCACCACAACATGAGGAACTGTATTAAGGGGTCGCGGCATTAGGAAGGCTGAGAACCACTGTCCCTAAACCAATCTGCTGAGGACTCTCAACTGGGGACCGGGCCTCCAGGATCAGTTAGGGTGCTCTTGGTTGCAAACAAAAGAAAACCCACTGCAAACTGGCCACACGTCGGTTTTCACGCACTGGGTCGTTGGAGTTCTTGCTTCATTTCTTGGTGCTGCTCTTGGCTTCCCCTCCTCAGTGGGCTGGCTTTGTCCCCAGGCTTCCTCGGTGGTGGCTGAATGCCTGCAACAGCTCCAGCCCCTGGCCGTTCATCACCGTCCGAAAGGAGGGCGTTTCCCTTCTCGCCAGCATCCAACAAAAACTTGTGGGCTTCACTCTGGATCACAGGTAAGGTCATGAGGCCCTGCCCTGCCTGGTCCCTGGGGCTGGGGGATGCCACGCACTGACTGGCTGAGGGCTGTGTTCCTTGTCTATCCCTGAACCAATCCTAGTCACAAAGAGAATAAGATTACACTGAGTGCCTTAGGCCACTAGGGACCCGCAACCGGGACTGTGTGAAGAGTCAGTTTTACACCAACAACATGGCTGCGTCATGATGATGGGGGGGGGGGGAGGGGTGAACTGGATGATGGGAAGGCATCCAACAGTATCTAAAACAGTTAGTATTCTTCCCTTGATAACTCCAAGAAGACCTTACAGACTCCCTATCTTAATGGGATAAGAAGAAAGCAAGTTCAGCTTCTAGTAGGAAGCTTTTTGGCATTTCATTATTCTCTTTGATTTGTGGAGTTTCATATCCGGCCTCCCTCGCACCCCCAATCACAGTCCCTTTAGTGAGACAGGCTGCTCCCGCCAGCTAGGAGAGATCTCCTTCAGGTGCAGTTCTCCTTAGAACCGCTGCTTCCGGGGAACACTTGCGCGCCCCGAGTTACAGCCTCCTTTGGGAGACTTCTCACTTGTTTCAGAGTGTGTGTCTCAGCCTGCAAGGGTGGGTGGGGAAGAGGAAGAGCGTTTGAAAATGAGAAGGTGAAGGAAGACAGAAGTCTTTTTATAAGAAACCCGAGTGATGACTTCATGTGTCTGAAAATATAATTATCCTCTTTTGTTTGCTTGATAGAGTTTTGATAGATAGAATCTTGACAGCTCTGTTATGAAATGTTAAAATGTAATTTAGGTTAAAAAAATCATAATTATCTTAAATTACAGTGTGAAGTCATATGCCAGGCTTTGATCCTGTTGTCGCGTGTGACAGAGCAGGAGCTGCAGGTGCAGGTAATCCAGCTGCTGAGTTTGCATAAATACTGAAAGAAACGGCCGATTGGCTCCCTGGCTGCCCTGAGGGGGAGTATATGTATGCGCGGAGGGACACCAGTGGGATTTGCCTCCTGGATGATGCTCTTAAATCTAGAGCTGAGGGGCATTGTGAGTGCTTCTATCCATTAGGGGATAAAGCCCAAGCTCCGTAGCAGAGCATTAGGCTCCTAAGGACATGGCCTTCAACTACCTTCTCAGGCTCAAGGAGACATAAGATGCAGGGGGGTGGGGGGGGGGGAGTGTGGGCTTCAGAGTTAGCTCGGGACTCACTTCTCCCACTGACTTGCTGAACACTGCAGGAATATTTAAGATGTCCACGTTCCAATTTCCTCACTTTGCTCCTTGTGCGGTCAAATGATCCCATCTCTGCTTTGCACTCATCCAGGCATCCTCTGCCTCTCCATTCCTCCCTCCCTTCCTTATAATTCCGTGTCTTTATTTCACCTGACCTCTCTCATCAAGGAAATGGGCTGTTCCTGTCTTCCCCTCCCCTCTTTATCCCTAGTCCTGCTACAGTGACATGTAGCGCGGTGCATGGTTAAGTGCTATGTACAACTTTGCTAAAAGGAATGTTCGCCAACATTTTCGTCATCCATTTGGCCTTCTTAGCAAATGTCAGTTTTAAACAAATGAACTACTTAAGCGAGTCAGAAGGAGGGAGGGTTGATGAAGGTGAGACATAGCTTTGTAGTGTGGGCACTGTAGTCAGAAACTCTGGGTTCAAGTCTTGGCTAATTGCTGACTTTGGTGGGCAAGTTGCCCTTCTGTGCCTCAGTTTTGTCCGTAAAAACGGGATGATATTAGACCCACATAATTGGATTATTTTGAGAAAAAAAATAAGATAGTGACTATATTCTTAGGAGAGCAGATAATTGACACAAACTATTATTGATCCTCCAGCAGATCAGCCCTGCCAGGTAAGACCTGCACTGTACACTCATGACATCCAATGACGGTCTTATTCTTTCACGAGATGAAAACTGAACAAGAGTAGAAAAGGCTTTCTCTTCCCTTTGCCCAAGGTAGAGACCAAGCTCTCTCTCCACAGGACATTTCCCTAATCTGAGCACTGCTGGGGCCGGGTTGGGGACAGTGGCAGATACTGGGCCCCAGACCTGTCACAAGCTGCCTGCTTCACCACGTCCGGAGGCTGCCAGCCTCTGAAACATTGTTCCCTTAGAAGCCACCCGCCCTGTGGACTGAATCCTACAGTCATTTTCTCTAACTAGAATAAAAAAGCAATATTTATTAAGCACATGTTATGTGTCCATTGAGTATTTTTACATAAGTAATCTCATTTCATTCTCACAGCGATCCCCTAAAGTCATTCCTGCCAGTACCCCAACCTCACAGAGGAGAAATCTGCAGCACCGGGCAGCTGGTGAGAAGAGATGGAGGCGGGACTCGCACCCAGGCCGTCTCGCTCTTCTCCCCGCTGGTCCTGCTGTCCTTTCCGTTTCTCACCCCAGGGTTCCGATTGGTGCTGCTTCCGCTGAGACCCACCAGGCGCCCTTCCCCACGTGGGTGCTCTCCTCAGCTTGTTGACTCAATCTCTGCCCCTCTATTGAATGGCGGTAAAAGTTAATGCAGTTTTTGGACTTCAGTGTCTATGGCGATTGTTTCAAAGTGAGAATCATGATTTAAAAGAGGCTTAGCGAGTTTAATGAATTCAACGGTCAGAAAGATGACTCTGCTAAGGCATGGGGTGAGTTGAAAGAGAATTCAACACAAGCCGATCGGCTTGACGCAGTGTCCTTGCGTTGGGCCTGCAAGAGTCCAGTGTGAAGGTGAATGAGAAGGGCAGGTGCAGAAGTGGGTGGGCACACGTTTCCTCTCGTTGTCAGATGGGGGTCCTTCCTCGCAGTCTTCCCGGATGCTCTTTCCAGCCTGCAACCCTGCCCTCTGCTCAGAATCCCTGCGCACCCTCAGGGAAGCGAGATCAGCTGGTCAGTAAACACATTGCACGTGCTTACTGTGGACCCCAGGGGGAGCCCAGATTGGAGGAGGAAAGAGAACACGGTGGATGTTGTTATTCTCTGGAGCATCTTGGACTCCACGTGCCTGTCTCAGAGGAAACACCAGTGTTGCTCCGGCCTGTCTCTGGTGCCCCGGCAGCTCAGGGAAGCTCTCATTGCCTTATATAGACTCTCCGCAGACTGTCTCCCATCTGATTCCAGCTTGCCTGAAGCAAGGATTCTGCATTCTGTTTAGCAGATCATTTCCAAAGCTTCTCTGTGGAGCCTGGTGGTTTAGCATCTACCATGGGGAAGGGTATTTAAAAAACAAACTTTACTTCTTTCTTATTAATAGTTGTTTACCCTACAAAGTTCCCGTGTGCAAACAGTAATGCTGCACAAGTAACTGTGGGAAACAATTTGGCCCCGGGCCTCTGTATACAACATGCTAAGACACACAGAAGAGTCACTTGGCTGGGATGCCAGCAGCAGCTAAGGGAGCTGGGACGCTCTACCCACCTCTGCCGGCCTGTCCAGAGATTCCTCTGCTTCCTTATTTTTCACGTGTGGGGCTGTACACTTGAGAACTTACTGAGATGTCCGCTAGGAGAAGCCAGATTCTGTGTACTGCTGCACATGTAGTACTCCAGACTTGAAGACTTGAAAATGATCAGATGTATATGTGCTTGAAAGGACACACAAGAAAAGCTGAAGAAAGGCTGAAACAAGATGCGACAAGCCTCATACAAATTATTCATAATTCTGTCCTGACTCATAGCAGGAGTTGAAACAACCTGTGAGCCCAAGACTGCAGCTGGTTAGGGCCCTGGAGTGTGGATTCGATTCCTCCAGCCAGGGCAGGCCAAATGCGAGCCTCTGGGAGGGAGATTGCTGCAGATAAAAAACGATCCTTCCAGGCCAAATGGTCTGTTGGCTGAAAGTCTCAGATTTGGTAACCAGAGTTGGACTGTAACCAAGGAAGAGGCTGAGGAACTTCTCAGCCGTTGGCCACCTGGACAAGGGTGGTGGTTCTTTGTTTGCCTTCACCCACACACCACAGATTGTCTCTGGAAAGTGAGGTTCCCACAGCCCGGTTTTCTTCAGAACACGGTTGATAAGCTGTCTTCAGTGGGATATGGTGGATAATGACTTCAAAATTACCTGGACCACTTATTAAAATGCCCATTTCAGGTCTCACCCCCAGACTCCCTGATTCAGAAACCGCATCAGTGCTGCTGGGGAATCTGATCTTCTAGTAAATACTCTAGAGGACTCTGTACTTAAAGCTTGGACACCACTGTGGAGGTCTGATAGGCAGATACTTTCTTGGGCTCTAGCATAATCTAACCTTTTCTTTAATTCAGGAAGAGAGAGATCTGTTGGGGTCCAGATTGGACATAGATGGGCAAGGATTTGATGCATCTCAGTAGACTACTCAGTGGTTAGAAAAGTCAATTAGCCAGCGCTCACTAAGGACTTCTGCCCAAGAAGAGGTGCTCAGTGATGGTTGCTGTGCTTGTTGACTGGTTCTTATGCCACCAGTGAGAGATGCTCAAGTCATGTGGCAGGTTCTTGCCCTCAGAGAACGTTCACTCAACTGAGAAGTTAAGGCTAATGAAACATTTGTGAATCCGGTGAAGTAACATATGATTAAGTACTGGATTTCCTCATATAAAGTTAAATATTAGGTAAAAACTGAGACCTGGCCCTGGCCGGTTTAGCTCAGCGGTTAGAGTGTCGGCTTTCAGTCCAGAGAGACTCGGGTTCGGTTCCCGATAAGGAGACGTGCCTCGGTTGCTGTTTGTCCCCAGCCCTGGTTGGTCGTGTGGGTAGCAGCCACTCGATGTGTCCCTTTCACGTCGATGCTTCTCTCTCTCTCCCACTCCCACTCTATCTGAACAAAAAAATATAAAAAAAATGTCCTCTGCTGAGGATTAAAAAAATAAATAAATAAAATAAAAAAAGGAGAAACATCTGTAACAAAAACAAATTAAAAATTAAAAAAATAATAATAATATAAAAACCTGAGACCTGGCATACAAGGGGAAACTTCATAGAGGAGATGGGGTGTAAGCTGGATTTTGAAGAATTGGTAGACTTGAGGCCTAAGAAAGTGATGGGAAGTTCCTGGCAAGGGGAACATGCTGTCTGAAGGTCCGGCGGTGGAAGCAGGCTTGGGGGCGGATGGCCCAGGAAGACCAGAGTGGCGCGAGTGGAGGGGGGCGCTGGAAGATGACAGGAGGGCTGAGTCGCAGAGAGCCTGAGAAATCGGGTAGAGGAATGGGCAAGAGAAGAAAAGGGAGCCTAGGAGCTACTGACGCTATCGAAGGCTGTTGAACAGCAGGTATAACACTATTTCATGGGCTCAGCAGGGATAGGAGAGTGGTTACTATTTCTCTTTCTTTATCCTCATCTCAGGACACTTTTGCATTAGAGCTGGGGAGAGAGAGAGAAACATCGATGTGAGAGAGACACATCGAATGGTTGCCACCCACATGACCCCAGCCCGGGCCGGGGACAAACTGCAACCAAGGTACTTGCCCTTAGCAGGAATGAACCCGGGACTCTCTGGTCCGTGGACCAACGCTCTAACCACTGGGCCAAACCGACCAGGGCAAGTGGTTACTATTTCTGTGGGTCCCCAAAGCTGGGTGCCACTGCAAGCTGGTGGGGAGAATGGTAAGGAGCCAAATACATCTGAGGAGATGCAGTTTGGAATCTGCATTTGAGATGAATGGCCTCGGACAGGTAGGGCAGCCGCGGGCAGTCCTGGCGCTGCCAGGTCCTGCTGGCAGAGGAGAAGGTCGCCAAGTCAGCCCACAATGGCTGGAGCCAGATACTGAGTTGAGTCGAGGTCATGGACTGTGGAATCTACAGTGGAGAGGGCCAGGCCTTCAGAGGCAGGGCGGGAGGCCAAGCGGTCACTGAAACTAACAAATGAGGGAAGACTTGGCACGGCAGACTTGGTGGACTTGGTCTGATTATCCATGGCGAAACGAGGCTCATGGGATATGTTCTCTGGAAAGTCCAACAAAAGTCAGTGCTGGGCCATAAAGGGTCATCCTCCCCTGCATGGACATGTGCTGGGCAAAGCTCCCCCGACCCCGAGCTGTAAGTTATAGTCAGAATTAGTTTCCCTGTGCTGCATCCTGGCAAGATGGGTTCATAGAGCTGCGGCGTAGAAGGGCATTCGGCCTACACGCGTGGATGGCTGATTTCTAGGAAGTCATGACACTCCCCTGCCCCGTGATGCCCATCCATCAATAAACCTATCCTTTCAGGCCATCCGTATCATGGAAGCAGAGAATGTTCAAACCACAAAGGAGATTTTAGATCGTAGCCCAGGGATAGTAAAGAGCTTTTGTCTCCTGAGTCAGCTCCAGCTGTTCCATGGTGGCTGCCTGGAGAGCTGGGCCCTGTCTAGGCTCCGAAGGAGAGAATGTCCTGATGGATCAGGAACATTTGCCGTGGGCGTGGGAGGAGTGAGTGGGTGATGGCAGAAGTACTGCCCGTTTGCCAAGTCTGCTTTAGCCCTGACCTCCTGACCTCATCTGTGAGGATACTGAAGCCG